CCTGACAATGAGCACAGGCGGCAGCTCTGCTCTGCGGCAGCTTCGGAGCGCTGTGTTCCCAGGCACAATCCCGAGCAGCGGGAGGGGAGGCTCTGCCCAACTCACTCGCTGAATGCATCCTGTCCTCACTTCGGAGAACGGCCTTTTAGCTCCTGATTCACTTGAGCACTATGGAAAACGTGCGATAAAGCACTCAAGGAGAACAAGGACACGCGTTTGTGCTTTGCGTTAAATAGCAGATTACGCGAGAAACCCTGAAACGAACAGAAATTCGGAGCAGACAACAAATTTCTGGTTTCTCCGGAGATTTGTGCAGCAGTTCTCCGTTCTCTCTGAAAGCAATCAGAGTTTCTCCTCTGCCCGAGCCCCGCAGCCGGGCTGCGCTGTTTGGGGAGCAAGGATGCAAAGAGCCGATTCGGGGCGGCCAAACACTTTCTGCGGGGAATAACCGTATAAAAATGGCTTCCCTGTTTGTGTCCGTGTGTTTGCTCACCCGCCGAGCTCTGGCCACTGCGCGCTTCATTTCCTTCCCACCGTGGAAAGTGTGGCATCAGTGTATGTGCGCTCTACGTAGGCGCTCGGGGCCCCTTCTGTTTTCTCGCGTCTGTCCGCCGGGGCTCTCTGGGAGCGTGTGTGCAGATATGCACGGGGAGGGGGGACCGGAGCGGCTGGGGGCGGCGGGCGGAGGGGAGTTATTAGGAAACTTTGCTTTGGCTGCTCTCTATCCTTGGGGCTGCGTGGCGCCAGCACCCTCAAGTTGAAAGGAAAACAGCCATTCTCACTTCCAACTGCCCACTGAGATCCTTAAGGCGACAAAGACACAAAAGTGAGTTTTATTTGCTGGTAAGCCAGAGGCAAGAAAAAAGAAAAGCCAATTCCCCCTTAAAAAGAGCCGACAAATCCTTTTTGCTCTTTTGTGTGAGCTTTTCCTATTCACATAGAGCGTTCATCCGTGTGATTCCCAACTTATTGTCATTACTTAGTTATTAATTGTTCTCATCTGGGTTTAATTGAGCAACCAAGGACTTTAGCCCAAGGGTCAGGGGGAAATCTTAAAGCAAAGACATGTTCAATAGGAATCCTGCGCTTCGAATATCCATCCCGAGTTGACATAATGTAAAAAAAAAAAAAAAGAAAGAAAGAAAAAAAAAAGAAAGAAAAAAAAAAACAGACAAAGCGGAGAGATGAAAGGGTCCCGACTCGCCCGGAGCCCCGCGTTGCTGTGCCGCAGCCCGAAGGTGCGGGCGAAGAGGGTTTGCGGGGCCGGCTCCAGCGGTGCTCGCTGCTTCAAATCTTTTTTTTTTTTTTTTTTTTTTCTTTTTTAAAGAGCGTCTTTACTGGATAAACGCGGCCCCCTGCGCGATTAGATCTTCCTCCCAAAAGCCGCGGTCTAATCGCGCAGAGGCGAAGTTTATCTCCAGCCCTTTTCTGCCGGAGACGCAACGTGGGAAAAAGCCGGCAGTGCGCTGCGGCCGTGCGGCGCGGCGATGGGCGCTGGGGTCAGGATCACAGGCACCGGCACACAGAAAGGGAGCGATCGGAAAAAGAAAGGCAGGAAAAAAAAAAAAAAAA